CTGGGTTCGATTCTCAGCACAGCATATAAATAAATAAAGGCCCATTGAAAAAAATATATAAAAAATAAAAATAAATAAAAGGTAATTGATAATAATGACTCTGTAGAAACAGTAATATATTTTCTCTCTATACGCAATCAATTCTCATTCTTTCAGTAGTTACGTTCTAAAAAAATCACTGAAAACAGTAAAATTAGCAAATGCTGAACCATTGTTTCTAGGAAAGTTAGGTTCCCATGAGGCTCTGATCACAATATTTTTTCAAACAATCACTATGTAATCTTTTGTATGGTTTGTTTATTTTTATGTGTGTGAGGGGAATGTTAGAAGGGAGGGAGGGTCTCGCTTTATTGTCCAGGCCGGCCTAGACTTCTGGGCTCAAGCCATCTCCTGCGTTAGCCTTCTGAGTAGCTGCAGGCTCTCACAACCATGTCTGGTTTCTGTTACTATTTAATTTAATAGATATTGTTGATTCATTAACACTTGATTAATTGAACCCATGACCTACAGCACTGCAACTCATGCCTACACAAAGCTTATCTAACAGACATTTCTCCATCAGGTATATGCCAGCATTCTTGTGCTTAGGAACAATCGCTAGCACTTCAGTGCTACACTTAGGTGTCAATTTGTGTCACAACACACAAACAGATTTAAGTGGAGAGAAAAAACAAAAACATCTATTTAATAAACTGAATGAATCCTTTTTTTCAAAGTACATAATTAATATAATACAGTGACCATTGAGGATGACAATAGCAGACTCTTCATAGATTTTAACTCCTTTAGTCCTTATTGTTGTAGGGACAAATGAGGCAAGGCACAGAAGACAGCTGGAAACAGTTTTATTTGGCTGCAGCCAAGTTCAGAGGGTACAGCCTTTGCTGTAATCAATCAATCCCCTGAACCCCGAGTTCAGGAAGTTTCAGAGTTTTGTACCCAGCATGTAAGGGGAGGGGCTCAGAAGTTCGCAGTCTGCAGAAGTTCACATAAAAGCAACTTTTTCTTTCATTGTTCTGGGCATGTTAACTCTTCAAGGACAACACCTGAGAAGGGGAGAGCTTCATCTCCCTTTTCTTTCCTCCCCCTGCCAGATGTTACCATGGGCCCATCTGTAACTTATCTTAAAAATGTAGACATCTCTGTGAAGCCCAGCTCAAGGCCAGAGGCCTTGTTTGCACATTTCTTCAAAGTACTATACTGGATACGTTTGTGAAAAACTAGTAAGGGGGTTCCAGCACCTGGAGTGCTGGTATCTTCTCGGCCAGTGGCCAAGTAAACAGGGCAACATGAAAATAGGAAGTTTATCTACAACGGACTCTTTTGCTGACAGTCCTAAAATCAGCCATGGTGAAGAGGGCTTTTCTGTGGAGAAAGGGGGTGCCACTTCATTATGATACTTTAAGAGTTGGACGTTCTTTCCACTGAATATATAAATAAACTGAGGCCCAAAGAAGTTAGTGGGTAACATAGTTAGCATCTGAAACAACCCCAAAATCCATGATCTTACCACTAACTTGTAGAGCTGAGTAATTTTATTGAGCTGCAGTTTTTAGATAATTTGTAATAAATGTTTGAATTCTGTGACAATCTCAATGAACTTTCAATTAAGACATCTCCATTTCATTTGCAATCGGCCTAGAAGATGGGCTTTTAATAAAATATAAATTAACTCAAAAGTACATAAAAAATAATTGCCCTGTTTTCTTTTTACTTTCCTTTAGTCAGGTCTCCATTTCGTTTATACATCCCCCAGAGCAGATGGTAAAGTATCAATGGAGATAGAATTCAAAAGTTTGATTTCTGATGAACTCCTATCATTAGTAAAAGAAATTTTAAGTTAATGATAAAAATGAGCTATTTTAATTCATCTAATTAAATAAAAATGTCGATTTTTATTTCATCCATATTATTCTTGATTTTCATTATCCCAGATAATTCATTCATGATTGGCATAGTTTGCTTTATGGAGGCCAATATAATTCTTTAATGTTGAGTGTGTAAGACATTCTGTCTTCCTTCAAGTTAAACTCACTAGATCCAATGTTGAAAAGGAATATTCTCACTTCTTCAATTGACATCTAAAGATGTCTACTTAAATCACTTGAATACCAAGGGAATATTTTCAGGAGGGTTGTATGTTTATGAACAAACATTATTGGATTTTTATCTTTAAGAAGTCAGCCACTTCTTATTGGGCTCCTCCATTATACTGAGTTCAAACTTCAAAAATTATTGTGAAAAAAAGGATTCTAAGCTCAAGGATTTCCCAAGGGAGACTGAAATATAAAATGGGAAAAGTACACATGCCAGAAATGGAAAAATTATACTACAGTTCAGAGGGGGAAAAGGTTCTTTTCTTTTCATATTTTTTATTTCACACACACACACACACACACACACACACATGCACGCAAGCACACACAGGTGTTTCCCGTCTGGATCCCCTGCAGCTAAATTCTGACATTTTTTGTACCCACCCTGGCTTCACAGCTTGCTGTTTCTGGTTAACACCCTGATTGCGAATTTGGGCTGAAAGCACAATGCAAGGATCCTAGCACAGGAACTTTCCCTGGAGGGGTTTTCCACTCTGAGTTGGTCTGAGTGCAGAGTTTATTTCTGCTTCACTGCTGCTGCCCTGAGGAGGTGATCCCTGGGTCTAACTTGTGAAAAAGTCTTCTTTAGACTCCCCACTGTTCACAGGCCTTGGGCTTTGGTTTTTGTGCCCCTTCTTGTAAAGGCTGGAAAAACTCCTTTAACCTTCCTGGGATCAGACTGTCTGTCCTCTCTGGTTCTTGCCTTCTGTAGTCGGGGGCCTGATAGTTCCTAACTCTCTTGTTAGTTCTTCACTGAAAAATTTGGAAAACAGAAAAATCCCCCACATTTCTTGGCAGTTTTCACTGGGAGATATGTCTGAATAGTTAATCACAGACACTTCAATGAAAGTCTGTTCAGGCCAGGTGCGGTGGCACACACCAGTAATCCCAGGCTCAGGAGGCTGAGGCAGGAGGATTGCCAGTCTCAGCAAATTAGTGTGGCCCTAAGTAACTCAGAGAGACCTTGTCTCTAAACAAAATATTAAAAAGGGCTGGGAATGTGGTTCGATGGTTAAGTGCCCCTGGGTTCAATCCCCTGAACAAAAAAAAAAAAGAAAAAGAAAAAGAAAATAATCTTTCCAGTCCCACATTGTGCATTTGCTTCTTAAATTCTGTTCATGTATACAAAAATGTTAACATGAGCTTGTCTTAAATGTCTGAGCATAGTCCTTGTGTGTAGAAAGTACTTTTTATAGTTACTTGGATTTCAAATTAATGCTAATTTTCTAAAGTAAAAATTGTACAATCCTTTTGCCAACTTTTGATTTCAGTATGGTTTTTATTATTCTATTTATAAATTTGTTATTTTTGTTTACAGTAAGAATGATAAACTTTACCTAGGGATGTAGCTCAGTGGTAGAGCACTTGACCTTAATGTTCAGGGTCCTGGGTTCAAGCCCCAAAACTGTCAAAATAAAAAATATATATAAAAAACAAATCCTATAAAATAAGAAAAAAGAATAACCCTTATTTTTTTCTGCTAATTTTCAAGTAACTCAAGTTGAGAAGACTAGATACCCTGAAGTAATCAGTCCATTTAAAACTTAGTTAATACAAGTCCTTTAAATATAAACTTCCCTTATAAATTTAACACATTTGATTTTTAAGCACTTCAGATGCCTGAAATGACAAATCTATGGCCTTAACAAATAAAAACATTCCTAAGTGGGGCTGGGGTTGTGGCTCAGTGGTAGAGCACTTGCCTAGCATATGTGAGGCCCTGGGTTTGATTCTCAGCACCGCATTTAAATAAATGAATAAAATAAAGATCCATCAACATCTAAAAAAATATTTTAAAAAAAATCCCTAAGTACTTAACACATATTTTTAAATCTATGTTCTACCATAGCCAACTTAATGACTTTTTCAGTACTTTTTATAATGAAATAACTTTGGATATTTTGGATATTTGTAACACCCGAAATGTTGGTGACCACTGAATCAAAAGTGACTTTAATCTGGGTGTGGTGGCACATGCCTGTAATCCCAGCATCTCAGAAGGCTGAGGCAGGAGGATTGCCAGCCCTAGCAATTTAGCAAGACTCTAAGCAACTTAGCAAGAGTCTGTCTTTAAATAAAATATAAAAAGGGCTGGGGATGTTTCTCAGTGGTTAAGCCCCCCTGGGTTCAATTTCCAATAACCTTCCCGCAAAAAAAAAGTGACTTTAACTTTTCTGCCTTAAACTTTTCTGTATTTCCTTAATTTTCATATATATATATATTCTAATATATATACATACATATATTGTAAAGGTCAGGCGAGCGTCGGAGGAAGAGACCACCAAGAGACTGTCTCATGCAACAGCAAAGGGTTTATTGGGGTCCAGCATGCTGGGGCTCAGAGTTCACTTGAATAGAGCAAAGAGCCCTGAGAACAGCTTAAGCAGAGCTTATATACTTTCCTTGGAGAGGGCAGGGAGGGAAGTTCATTGATGGGTCAGGGCGAGTGGGCGGTTTGCCTGCAACTGGGTGAGGGGATACATTCTGCAGTTTGGCAGTTGGGGACAGCACATTCTGGGAACAAGATTAGCAAACAGTTCTCAAGATTATTAACCTTTCAATATATGTACATGTATATTGCGTATTAAATCAGAAGTAACAATATCGTTATAATCAGAACCAATGCATAGTATTTTCAAAAACAAAATATACTCTTTTCCTAATACTTTTTTTGGTCTTTTTCTCCCTGAAGAAAACCCAAAACCACAAAGTCCTTAGGAGACAATAGCAAAAACTGGGGTGAGATGTGGGGTTGGGGACATGGTGGTAGTAGGAATATTTTGCAGAAGGAGAAAGAGGAATGTAAATATAATTGTGAATACTGCTTCTAGGTCAGGCAGGCAACTGATAGTATTTTTTTCATTTGCAGGATAGCAAGAACAACTTGAGAGTTTATTTGTTATCATGTCATCCATCAACAGATTAAAAACAATAAATCAAAATAGAATAAGCAAACAACATCTCCTGGAGCAGATAAATGAAAAGCGTGAAACCAACTGTTTTGTGGAAAGAAGCAATCAAGTCAGCTTCCTGAGAGTTCAGAAGAGGCACTTCAGTGGTGCCCATCAGTCATGTGTTTTCACCCATTTCAATGAAGGTATTCCTGAGAGCAGCAGGAGCTCCTGGGTCCAACCAAGTGTCTTTGTTCACCCAGAGAAAAGGCACTTTGAGCCAAAAAGTAAGATGTTACAGGAGAATTCCTACTCTTCATAGGAAGAATTCATAAGAAAATTTAGGAAAAAAATTCTGGGGTCAAAAGAGGTTCCTATATATTATGGTTTGGATATACAGTGTCTCCCCCAAAATTCATGTGTTGAAAACATGATATCCGGGGCTGAGGCTGTGGCTCAGCGGTAGAGCACTTGCCTTGCATGAGCGAGGCACTGGGTTCGATCCTCAGCACCACATAAAAATAAACAAATAAATAAGAGATACAGTTAAAAAAAAGAAAAGAAAACATGATATCCAATGTAGCAATGTTCAGAAGTGAAATCATTAGATATGAAAGCTGTAATCTCATCAGTGAATTAATCCATATGGTAGATTAATAATTTGAAACTGACTACTGAGTGTTAACTATAGGCAGAAAGAGTGAGTTTGGAGGAAGTAGGTTATTGGATGCATGCCATTGGGGATTATATCTTGTCCCTGGCTTCTCATGAGGTGCCTCTCTCCTCCCCCTCCCCTCTCTCTCTTTCTCTCTCCCTCTTCCTGGCTGCCATAAAATGAGCAGCTTTCTACCACCATTCCCTTCCACCATGCTGTTCTGCCTTACCTGGGCCCAGAGCAATGAAGTCAATTAACCATGAACTGAACCTCTGCAACCGTGAGCAAAATAAAACTTTTCTTCTTTCAGTTGTTTTTGTCAGGTATTTTGTCATAGCTACTATGTCACAGCAATGGAAAGCTGACTAACACACTAGGTATTACCCTGAGATACTTTAATCTGTCTGAAGGAAAAAGTATCAGTAAATTAGGCTGGTTTGTATAAGATCCACCAGAGTTCAGACCTTCAGTTTCTTGTGCCTATACAGAATCCCAGACCCAGGCTGATTCATTCAATAGGCTCTAGTCTGGGTCCTGAAATCTGGATTCTCAAAAGACTATGGTGATTGTGATGCTGGTGACCTTAGGACCACATTTTTTAAAAAAGTTGTTACACATAATTGTGATAGATCCCAAGAACTTCAGAGACCCCCCATCTCACCAATTTCTGTTGCCTTCTGCAAACATTTCATGTGCAAAATTGAAGCAAACAAAAAATGATTTTGATGATAAAAGTCACACAATAGCCTTGAAAGCAATAATTAAAAAAAAAAAGTGGAGGGAGTTTGGGTGGAAGGCAATGGTATGGGGTAGTGGTATTATTTTTCAGGAAGAAGAAGTCATAAATGCCAGTTATTTTGGTATTGTTATAAATATTGACTTCTTTCTTAGTCAAGGCAGTCAACAGGTAATATTTTCTCAATTGTGGAGGGTTGGGGGAAGTGTGCATATGTAATTATATTTAATACAACCAATACTTTATTTAGTTCAGAAGGTAAAGAATGGACCACATTGGAGATTTAATTTTTTGATGTGACTGTGACTTCCATTTGGTCTGAGCTCTTAGTAAGTGTTATAGGGAAGTGATGCAGTGTGACATAGAAAGCCAAAAGGATGCATTGTATTTTAAAATTAATCTATAACAATCCTGTTTTTTTTTCCTTGCAGGGTAGGGTGTGTACTGGGAATTGAACCCAGGAGCATTTAACTACTGAGACACATCCCAGACCTTTTTTGTATTTTATTTAGAGACAGGGTCTCACTGAGTTGCTTAGTGCCTTGCTTTTGCTGAAGCTGGCTTTGAACTTGTGATCCTCCTGCCTCAGCCTCCCAAGCTGAGGTGCACCGGCCATGTTTTACTCAAAAAATACTTTTTACAAAGAGTATTGCTCATTCTAAGAGAAAAAGCATAATCTTTTATTCTGGTTGAATTATTTGGAACTAGAAGAATTAATTCATAGCTACTATGTTAGTTGTCACAAGTTTGATAGTGGAGGGAAAAATCTGCCTCCAAGACAAACATAGTGTACAACTTTACATGAATATACATGGCTTTTTACAATACACAATCTAACACATGGAATCCCCATAAACAAATTTTATGGTATAAAGTTTATAAGCCAAAATCTTAGATCATTAAAAAAAACTCCCAGGGTTGCGGTTGTGACTCAGTGGTAGAGCATTTGCTTACCATGTATGAGGCACTGGGTTTGATCCTCAGCACCCCATTAAAAAAATTAAATAAAGGTACTGAAAAAGAAAAAGTCTGCAGATGTGGCTCAGTGGTTTAATGCCCCTAGGTTCAATCCTTGGTACCAAAAATTAAAAAATAAATAAGTAAAATGATTTAAAAAAAATAACCCTCTAAATATTTTAGAAAAAAATCTTTGCCCCTTTTAACTAAACAGATTTAAACAACAATTTAACTTTATGGTGCATGGATACAGGATAAGTATAGACCTAATTTAAATGCTAGGAAATTGGTATGTAAATACACAGTGTTACTGTTTGGACATGAGGTGTCCCTCCAAAGCTCCTACGTGAGATAACAAAAGAATGTTCAGAGGTGAAATGATTAGGTTGTGAGAGCCTTAACCTAATCAGTGGATTAATTCACTGGTATGAATTAACTGAATGGTAACTGTAGGCAGGTCGAGTGTGGCTGGAGGAAGCAGGTCACTAATGGTGTACCTTTGAGGTTTATATATTGTCCCTGGTGGGTGGAGATCTCTATCTGCTTCCTGGAAGCCATTTCCTCAGCTTCTTTCCTCCACCACACCCTTCTACTATGATGTCCTGCCTCATCTCAGGCCCAGAGCGATGGAGTCAACTGCCCACGTGCTGAACCTCGAGAACCATGAGTCAAAATGAACTTTTCCTCCTCAGGTTGTTCTTGTCAGGTGTTTTGGTCACAGCAATACAAAAGCTGACTCTAACACATTATCTGTATTAGTAATCTAAACTAGTCGTTCTCAAAAGTGTGGCTCAGGGATCCTTGGGTACTTGAGTCTTTTTCAGGAGTCTGCAAGGTCAAAACTGTTATTATAATAATACTATGTTTGTTTGTTTGTTTTGTACAGAGGATTGAACCCAGGGGTGCTTAGCCACTGAGCCCCACCTTTAGACCTTTGCATTTTGCGACAGGGTCTCTCTAAGTTTCTTAGGGTCTCACTAAATTGCTGAGGCTGGTCTAGAAATTCCAATCCTTCTTCCTGACCCACCCTAGTCACTGGAATTACAGGCACACACCACCATGCCCAACACATTTTATTTTCTTATTTCCACAAGTGGAAAGTACCTGGGCTAAAGAAAAAAGGCATGCTACTTTAAAAAAAAAAATCTTTTTAGTGCCTACTTTATTCTGAATACTATTAAGGTTTCTTTGTTCCTAAACTGAGTTTAGATCACTTGAGAAATAGAGGTAAAATTGTTGGCATCCTTATTAAAAAAAAAAAATCTGTATTGGAGGAATTTGCTAAAGAGCAGCCAAATGGCCAACTTGCCCCTAAAGGGAATTTACCCCATCTTGAAACAGAACTTCAGACCTGCTACTGGAGAACAGATAAGAGAGTGCCCTCCAGGAGACCAGCAGAGGCATTTTACAAATGAGGAGATGGAATGTTACCTCTAAAGTTGGACAGACATATTACTGTGGTAGGCTCTCAAGAAACATTCATTAAATCAAACAATAAACATCATTCATGATAAAATAACATCTTCTTTAGAGAAGCTGACCCTCTCCTGTCCTGTGGATATTGAAGAACAGCAAAACACCAAACATCTCTAGGTGATCTTGACCGAGATAGCTCGTGGAACTTAACCTGTAAGAGTACTTAAAATATCATCTCTGTCTGCTGACACCCACATTTTCTATTTCTGACCCTGATCTCTCTTCTAACTTTCAGATTTATTTGCATATCAGATTGCACCTATCAGACTGCCCCTTGCACTTGAGGCCATCTCCAATCTACCATTGCTAAAACAGAATTCCCTGCTAAAGCAGGGATCATATGTGGTTTTTCATTGTTTTATCTTCATTGCCTATAACAGTGTCTGGCACAAATTAGGCGCTCAGAAAATATTGGCTGACTGAATACTGACTAGGACATGGCATATGCTTTTCTAGAATTCCTGTTCCCCACCCCAAACTCACATACTCACTTCCACTTAATCTCATTTTCTGCATCTCAGAAAATGGCGAGAGACAAAGGAAAGCCTCTGATTCCTCTCCTTTCCCTCATGTCCCTTACTCACTCTGTTAACAAGTCCTGTGAACATCTTCAAAATCAGCCCTGAGTCCAACCACTGTTACTACCCTGATCTAATCCATAGTCATCTGTCTCTAGAAATATAGCAGGGGCCTTCTGAGGGTCCCTAGCTTCCACTCTTGCTGTCCCCTCCCCTGTGTTTACTTTGTACAACAACCTAAGTGACTTTTACAAATCTTATGTTACAGAGGTCACTTGTTCAAAACTCACCCAAGGTTTCACCCCACACTTAGGATAAAATGCACGCTCCTCTCCCTGTGCTTCTGGTGCCCCATGAACAGTCCCAGAGTTTACCTTTTCAACCATCTCCTCTACTCACCCTGGTCTCCTTCCACGCAGCCACCATGGCTTTGCTTTCTTCCTCCTCTGGGACAAACCAAGTTGGTTTCCACCTCAGGAACATGGCCACATGCTGTTCCCTCTGCCAGGGGGTCTCTCTTTCTGTCTTTAAGTGGACCTTTGCTTGACCTCAGTTTGTCTAAATAGCATTCCTTAACACTTGACAACCCTGTCCAGATTTCTCTATCAATGTCTGCCGAATGCTAAGCTCCTTGAAAGCAGGGATCATATGTGGGTTTTCATTGTTTTATCCTCATTCCCTATAACAGTGTCTGGCACAAATTAGGCACTCAGAAAATATTGGCTGACTGAATCAATACTGACTGGGACATGGCATATGCTTTTCTGGAAGTAGTGGTGGCTCTTACCTCATTCCCTTAAGACCAATCGTCATGCTCTTGAGTGATGGCCCCAAAACTTAGAATTTCCCATGGCAACCTGTTGGCTGCTGTAGAATATTTGTTAGAAGTGGAAGAAGAAAATTACAAGGTACATTTTGCTCAATATTTTTTAAAAATATTTTTTAGTTGTAGATGAACACAGTACCTTTATTTATCTTTA